CACGGGTCAAAGGGATGGCCCCTGGTGTTAAATAGTTTTTCCTTAAAGATACCTGTCAAAATTTTCGGAAGGCTGTCTGATGCGAATGTCATTTTTACATTTTCCAGGTTCTCTTCAAAGCTTCCTAAATCGTCTAAAATTTTCTCCAACTTTTAATTTTTGAAAATTTCCAAACGTACAGACATTAAAAGAATAATACAATGAAAACCCACAGATCCTTTATGAAGAGAGTGGTTCTCAACTGGGGGTGATTTTATACTGAGGGTGGTCACCTCTAAACATTCTTGGTGGTCATGCTGGGAATGTTACTGGTATCGAGTGGGTAGAAGCCGGGGTGCTGCCAAACAAGCCGCTGTGTGCAGGACACCTCCCCAACCCTAACCAGTGGGACGGCCCCCCCAGAGAACCACCCAGCTCAGACATGGACGTGTGGAGGCTGAGAAAGCCCGACCAGGCTGGAAGCAACTACTAGCCGTTAACGTCCACCGCCTCGCCCACCTGGATTTCATCTTCTTTCGATAAAGTGCCAGAGTCACAGTTTCAAGTTCATTTTAACCACGTGGTGCGGTGCCCGCTACCTGCAAAGCTCAGCTTAAAGCCAGTGAAATGCGAGGCTCTTTCTGGGAGAGCCCGAGCTGCCCTTCCGCCCTGACCTCGTAGCCGCCTCCCGTGGGGAGTCCGGTACACGCGTGCTAGCTGCCCTCAGACCCTAGACCTGGGCTCCTGAGGACTGAACTTCCCAAGCTGCGGAAGTTAGTTAGAGAAAATAAGTTCGTTGTGGGGCCGTGACCCTGACTCAGGTGTCCGCATGGTGCCTGACACAGCTGAGGCGTCAACTCCTTTCTGAGAGAGCATTCACCCGTGAGCCACACGTGGATTTCTGAAATGTGTCAGCTTTCAAGGCTCACAGACTTGCACTGAAATCCATGACGAACAGTGAAGGACCAAGTGGACTGGGGTTTGAAAAAATCACCAAAGAAAATAACCAACAGGAGTGAAAATTATTTCAAGTTACCAAAATAGCTTCATTTCTTGTAAGTATGGCACACTTACTTCAGATACTGCTGATATTCATGAGCATTTTTTCCATGAACCATATGAATGTTGACCAATTCCAGTGCAATCAGCAATAAAATCAGGTAAAGCATAGGAGACAGAAGCTTAACGCTAAAATAGATAAAATAGGTTAAAATTTGTTAAAGAAAAATGTTTTCAATATCATCAGGAAAACGTTTCTTTGTCCACCCAGCCCTTTGCCTGAGAGCCCTGAAAAGCAAACCTCCCTGAGGAAGGCCCCGCGGCCCGTGCTGTGCCCCAGCCCTCCGGGCAGCAGCCGCCCGGCCAGGCCCCACCTTCCTCTGTCGCGCTCAGGGTGCCAGCGCCCTCGGCTCACCCAGCCCACTGCCCTGCCCTTCGGGGTCGTGGGACGTCGCCAGCTCTGCACCCAGCCTTTCCACTGCGTCCATCCTCTGAATCTGTCAACATCTTTCTCACAACTAGATAGTAAAAGACTCGCACAAAGTGAGAAATGCCAATGCCTCAAACACGAAGGTGTGTTCACTGTCTCCAGGACTCAAACGCCAGTTAAAGATGTTATTTTTCCCACGAAACTGGTAGATTTTTCAATGTCCTGTCTGGGGAAGGGTGGGACCTAATGGGTATCATCCCATAAACTGCTGGTAGGAGTATAAACTGGTGCAGCCTTTCGGAAGCAACTGAGGAGTTAAAAGCTCTACAGATACTACTCAAATCCAAGTCCTAGGCATTTGTCCAAGAGTCACATCTTGAGGACGCAGCACGTCCTCAAATACACGGCACATGCCGAGAACCCGTAATGCCGGCACACCTGAGACCCAAGGGTCCCACACGCCGAAACTGCAAATACCCTTGCAAACGAGATGAACCTTAACTTCCTCTAAAATGAAGATTTCTTGGAAAGCATCAGAACTGTATCCAAGGGTGACTCCCGCCCGGGGGCGCCTTCCAGAACCAGAATGAGGCGGGACCACACACCTGCTTAACATGCACAGGTAGTTCCGCCTCTGCCGGGAGCGCAGCCTCTTCTCCACCCACTGGTGATGTCTCTGCTCCCAGGAGGCAGCGACCTGGCGGGACACGTGGGCGCAGCGCCTGCCGATGTTCTGGAGTACAGCAAGCACTTCCAGAACGGCTCTGGGGCAGAACAGGGTTGGGACGCGGATGCTGCAGAGTTCAGGGAGCAGCTGGGGACACCTGCAGACCAGAGCATGGCTCCAATGGGACGGTCTGTCACCACCCTCCCTGTCACCGCCATGCGGGACCTACTGGGCTGTGAATTCTGTGAGCAGTGGCCGGCTGGCAGCCTGCCTCAGGCTGCTGGTACGACCCTGCCGCATGCGGGGTCAGTCCGTGCGGGCCTGCCCGTGGGAACTGCTGTAGGACAGCAGATGGGTGCGTGAACACCGCGGCTTGCCTAGGAGTCCCTCTTGGGGAACGTGACAAGGGGTTCCAGTGCTACCACCACGTGTATAACATTTAAAACACAGGAAATAGCTGTTTGCAATCCTGATCCACTTAATCAACGTTTTAACAATTTCCAAGAAGTCCTGAAACGTACTTCTCAATAGGCAGGTTTTCCAGGCCGGTAAAAACGCAGTGATTCTCAGGTAGGTGGTGATACAGCTCACGTGTGATTCTTATAATTAAAGAGCTGCAGGCATTTGTTTCTGAATTGCCTTCTAATCTGAAAAACAGAAAATATTCAAATATACATAACAAAATTTAAGATGCTCAATTAGCACCTGTACAAAATAATATTTACGTTAATAGTTTACTGGGCAAACCACTTAATCTGCCATTTAGTTTCCCAAAAATAAAATGAACAAGTCACCATCAGACGCAATGGTGAAAACAAACGATACAGTATGCGGAGAGCAAGGCAGTCCGCTGACGAAGACGACCCATGGACCATGCGTCGTCGTCCCCACCACGACTCCGAATCCCTGAGCTTCGACCCCTATTTCCAACTGTCACTAAACACTTCCAGTGGGTGTCGTCGGCCTCCGCCAATGGCCCCGCCCACGACCGGGTACTGAGCTGGGCACCACCTCCGCTATCCCCCCCCACCCGATCTCTGCTCACAGGGGCCTGGCTGGCCCTCCTCAGCATGTCCTTGTCCCTCAGCCCTGGAAGAGCCCCGGGGGCTGCGCTCACCGGCACTTTTTTACCACCCTGCACGGCCCAGGGTCGGCTCACCTGGCTATTTCCCTGGCAGCTTCTTCCGGCAAAGGCAGCAGAGGCCACACCCTGAGGCTCCGCTCGCAGCTCAGCACCTGGGAGGAAAAGGTCCCGTTGCTTTTAGAGTGTTACGATGAAGCTCTACGAAATAGGTTTTTAAACTGTTACAAACGTTACAATCACTTTGCAGAAAACGTGTCTATAAAACTGTTTTAGACATTTAAAAACTGGGCAGCGGGTGTCAGTCACTCACTATAATCAGACAAGTGGGGATGGAAGAAGCTACCTCGGGTCAGTGGGTGGCTGCACGGCATGGCTGTGGCTGCCAGCTCTTCCCATGCCCCTCTGTCTGGGAGCTGAGGCCATGTTCCCTCCCCTGAATAAGGACTGGCTCTAGTGGGTGGCCCGTCACCAAGAGAACAGAGGAAGTAAGACCGCTGGGTGACTTCTGAAGCCAGAAAGCACAGCACCCCTCCCGGTTCCACGGGCCACGTGCTGTGCGTGAAGCCACGGGACACCCGGGCCAGCGCAGCACCAGCCTCTAATCTCAGATCTGACTCCCAAAGTGCAAGCAAAGGAAGTGGCCCTGTCAACCAGGGCATGACCTGAAAGGACACAGACCATCAGCTAATTAAAAAGTGGGCAATGACAGAAGGCGGGGTGAGAGGCTACAGGAAACGGTGCCAAGCAGTGTGGGGAGAGGAGGGGGCGTCCGCCAGGGAAGGGAGCACCGCCGAGCGGCCCAGGGGCGCAGTGAGGGAAGCTCGCCTCCTGAGGTTCCCCTTGCTTCCAGAACCTTCCTCCTCTGAAACTGTCCTCTCTCCCTCCCCTCTCTCGGAACTTGGGTGCCCTGTGGGCAAGTCCGGTGTCCCCCTGCAAGGGTTCTGTCCCTGGGAAGCTCAGCATCGCGGAGGCCCATGAGTGCGTAGTGGACTGGCTGACGGTATGGCCCGTATGGCCCGAAGTGCCCGACACAGGAGCCTCACAGAGCTGCAGGCTCACACGCCCCCAGGAGTCTGTCTGTCCACAACCCCTTCCACCTGCTGCCACCTCTCCTAAGGATCCTGGGCTTGGCCCCCTCAGGCACCGGCTCCCTGGGGCTGCGTGCTGACTCTGGTTTCCATGAGGAGGGCGGGCTGGCTCTAATGTGACCGTGACGTTCTTGAGGATGGCCCATCTCTGCCCCCTTGTACCGCCCTCACATGCCACATACAGTGTGCTGAATAAAGTACTTAGCTAATTTCCAAATTGGAGCTTCCTGGCAGAAGTGCTTAAAAGTTCTGTTTGCTTGTTTGTTTTAATTTATAAGTTAACAGAGGCAGTTAAGTTAAAAACTGACATTTGTCATCAATGACAAGCAAGAACTGCTACCATCCTGGGTAACGATGCCGATGATACACTAGCCTGCCAGGCCACTTTCCCACGGTCATCCACCTGGTACTAAAAGCCGCCAACGCCACACACACTGCCATTACTTCCCTGCGGGATGCAGGCCCTGAGGCTCAGAAAGGCCAGCAGCCGGGCCAAGGCCACACACGCGAATGACGCACTGCGGCAGACGGCGGACCTGCTGACCCGCGTGTGCCGCCTGAGCCCTCGAGCATCTCCCGGTAGAGACCGCGCACACGCCCTCTCCCAGAGGCTCGCACTCGCGCACCTGCTTCTTAAGCCGAGAAAGCGGATGGAAGCGCGCACTGTAGCCTTCCGCGAGACTGAGCAAGGATTTTACTGCTGCTTTTTCCTAGTCAGAAAAAATAGATGTAAGTTACCACAACTTTTGTTTAGGCTTCTAGTTTTCTTCTATTGAATTTTAAGTCACACAAGAGTCCTAGTTTCTCGTTATTCCGTCCACGTAATTCTTTTAGGCTGTAACAAAGCAAAACTCTTCTTTACAGGAGGTCTGAAGACAGCAGTCAAATCATAACCCACAGAGTGATTTTCAATGAAGCTTGTTAACAGTGATAAACTTAAAAAGGCCACGTCTGCTCTCTACCCACAGTGCAACAAAATTAGGAATAAGATTCCAAACAATTAGAAAATTTAAGAGATTCCCCTAAACACCTAAGACATGGTAGAAATTTAAACATTAAAGATCAATACAATTAAAAGAATTATATAGCTCTAAACACATAATCGTTAGATATATAAATACTGAAAAAACAATAAAAAATATTGTTATTTAATTATATTGACGTAACTGCACCTACAAAATCAAGTCAGCTGATGAAAAATTATTAGAAATAAAAAGAGAAGTCAGCGAGTTCATAGCTGACAAATTTCAAAAGCTTTTCTACATATAAACACTAACTACCCAGAATTCTCGGTAGCACAAAACGAATAATTAAAATAGCTGGACGTTAACCTTTCATTCGCCCAAATGCCTAAGAGGCCGACTGTGCAGCAGGGAGTGTCTTCTTGGGCTGTGCATATAAAAAGACAAAAATGTGCCCTCAGGGATCCCCATTCTAGCGGGGCAGCTGAGACGCACGTGGTGACGGCTGGTGGTGACGGCAGGGAACTGGGGAGCTGCAGTGCCACAGAGTGCGCGGGTTCTGCTCCAGACGTGACACCGCAGGAGGCTCCCGGTGGGGAGGAAGTGTGAGAGGACCGTTCTGCCCGCTCTGCTGAGCATGGGAACCGGCAGAAGACCCGTCACAGCCGGTGATGCCCCAGAGGAAGGGTAGGGTGCTCTGCCCCGGTGCTGGTGGCGTGGGCACGGTGCGGAGACAGGGTTTGGGCCATGTTTTAACAGCCGAGGACTGAAGGCGGAACGTGGGAGGATGCAGGGAGGACTCGGCCTTGGGGCCTGAGCAGCCTCCAGGGAGGAGGTGGTGCCACAGGTGGGGAGGTGGCCTAAGCCATGGGGCACCATTAAGGAGTGACGTTCAGCACAGTCAGAAATGCCTGTGGACCCCCATTCATGCAGCAGCAGCTCGTTCCTACATATTCTAAACTGAATTCACGAGGACTTCCACTTTCTATGTTAATTTTTCTATCTTGTTCGAAGTTTAAAAAAAACTTTAACAATAATTGTTACATGTATAATCTGAAAAATTAAAATATCAATAAACATTCTAACCTAGTTTAATAATAAAAATTTAGTTTGTTGATAGATGCGAACATTGCAGCCCACCAATTTAACAGACATCTATAAAAATTTCCATTATTTTTAGTTAATCCTGAGTTATAGTCTTTGGTTTGCCATTTCCTGTGGCAGTTAAAAACAAAGGCAAACGTGTTCTGAAGAAATGGGTTAAATTAGTTTAGATTAGATTAATACTTATTTGTTATACAGAATACATGCATACATATGATCAATTCACAATTATCTGTTTTGATGGCATATTGTAACTCAGATAAATTAAGCAAAGCATGATTAAGAGTTAATTACATTTAAAAATAAGCTGTATCTTTCAGAACTGAATGACAGTGACTTAATTAATCATTTTTTTCCCTATACGTTACCTTAAACACCGATGCCACGTCTTCATCAACGAATCTCAGTAAAAGTACAATGGAAAATGCAAGCAGCTGATCTGTTATTTCTTTTGGAAATCCAGGTAGGCTGACTTCCCCATGGCTTAAACGATCTCTTACACGGGGACCCTCCTGATGGTTCAGGAAATCCCAGAGAAATTCCTTTCAGAAAAAAATCACAGAAAACATTTTATTAGTATTCTCAGCAGAGGAAAGGAAAGTGCCAAGGCCCAGGCCTGACACGGTCAAGGCCAGTGTTCACTCAGCACGAGAGGTGAGCCTCAAGGAGACTGAGGGCCAGACGACAACCCCAAGAACCAAGCAGGTAGCCTCCTGGAACCCGATCTCACTGCCCCCTGCTCTGTCGGGTGGGGTCCTCCCGGGAATAAAACTCTCCCCGCACAATGCATGGAACCAACACGTTCAAGCACTCTCTGGGGAGAGGGCCCCTAAATCAGCAGGCCTTAGAAAAAGGGCATTTGAATGATAAACATGATGCACAGAACTTGGGCTGGAGTCACAGCTCGGCAGGTGCCTCCTGCAGACAATGAGGTTGAGGCGTGCGCAGGAGGCTCGGGGCCCGCTGAGCGCTTCAGAAATCAGAACCTATAGCACCCCGGAGACGCGTGAGGCCACCCATAAACACGAGACCTTCCAACTGGGAGGCCCAGTCCTCACCATTGCAGGATCTCCAAGGAAAAGAGGAAGCTGGTTGACTTGACCATCATTCAAGTGTTTCGCCAGTATCTAAAACACCAAAAATAAACAAATTAACTGGTACACACACACACACACACACACACGACTTTGAGAGTCGAAGGATAAGGTACCTTTGGTATGAAATGTTAAACAAGCCCCAAGCCAACAGAAAGAAATAAGGACAGTCTTAAATGTAGCAACTCCCAGTTCAGGAAAACTTTGCCTAACCTGTATGACTTTCAGTAGATGTATCTTCTTGTGTGTGTGTGTGTGTGGGGGGGTGTTTTTGCATATTTATGTGTATTATAACAGCAGTCAAGGGTTTCGCCAGTATCTAAAACACCAAAAATAAACAAAATAACTGGTACACACACACACACACACACACACGACTTTGAGAGTCGAAGGATAAGGTACCTTTGGTATGAAATGTTAAACAAGCCCCAAGCCAACAGAAAGAAATAAGGACAGTCTTAAATGTAGCAACTCCCAGTTCAGGAAAACTTTGCCTAACCTGTATGACTTTCAGTAGATGTATCTTCTTGTGTGTGTGTGTGTGTGGGGGGGTGTTTTTGCATATTTATGTGTATATGTGTTTACCTACATTTGTACGTGTGCATGTGAGTACATGTGTGTTTATATATACTTGTTTATTTGCCTATCTATATGTGTATATGTACTTATATGTGCTCCTGTGCATATGTTTACATGTACTCGTTTGTGTCTGTTTATACGTACACACTTGTTTGTGTACCTGTATCTGCATACCTGTGTGTATATTCATAGGTCCGCATGTGCACGTGTATATAAGTACCTACCAGTCACTTTGTTAGCCACTCCCTACCTCACCGTAGGCCGTGGAACCCAACCACCTGTCCCAGCCTCTAGGTCCTTCCCCACACAGATTGCACTATCCAATCTAATCATCACAGTATCGGACGTATCATACACTTACTAAGAGTGGACTACTGACCTAACGGAATAAACTGTGCAGGTAAGCAGGCACCGTGTTGGTTCACTCACCACCTATCCACTTAGAATTCTAACAGGTATTTAAAGGCAAAATGATCTGAACGCCTGAATCTCCACCTGAGACTTTGCTTTTGTTTCCTCCTGCAGGCTGACTCCACGGTGTCACACACACTTCAGGGTATGTAAGAATTACTACCTAGGATGACACACACAAAAGCCTCTAAACTCCACAAGTGACAGAAGGCATTTCCAATGGTAATTTTTACTATTCCAGATTTTCACCTTCAGAATCCGACCCCCAAACATGCAGACTAAATGCATCAATGCACACTACGTGCTCCCGACCGCGGTTGACGTGTAGTTCACGTGCAGACAGGGAACGTGCTAATGAAGTCTGACACGTAGGCCTCTAAGGAATCACAGCAGGTGACGGTGCACCTCCTGGCGCTTCCGACTTTGGCCTCTATAGCCTCGGAAACGGTCTCATTTAGCCTGAAAACTACATTTAACTCTATGTAAGTTTTTTTTTGTTTGGTTTATATGACTATCAATATTTTCCTGTAAACGTGACTTATGGCTGATCTTTAATTTTGTATTTTAACTTGCATTTTAAAAGAACACAACATTTTACTTGTTTCAAGATACTTTATAAATTTACTTACTTCATCAAAGGTGGTATAAAGAGCTGTTGACTTCAGAAAAGAAAAAAAAAGAAATAATTAAAGCAAAATACAAGCAGAGTGACATTATTCAAAGCAGGAAAACGTTCGAGCACATGGCAACATGAAGTGTCTTTTGAAGATGACTCTCCACGCGGCCGCACTGTGGGAAGAACTCGCCAGCACGAGCACGCGGCAGAGGACGAGGCCCCAGCACCGCTGCCAGGCGCAGCCCCGCCCTCGCCTGCTTGGAGCAGACCCGTGCGGCGCCACGGTCCCGGGACTTCCGTCCCCACCCGCATGCAGAACGCTTCCGCTGCTGGCGTGCGTGTGGGATGCCCAGGGAGGACGGCCGAGAAGGCTTCGCTCTTCACATCGGTGTGGTCAGGACAGAGTTCAGACGCGGGCCCTGGGGCCGCAGTGTCTAATCCCGACTTCAACACTTTGAATGTGAGAAGCCCTCAGCGCCTCCACAGTGTCTCTGTAAGACGGGCCATGCGCAATGGCCACCTCAAAAGGCTGCTGAGAAAGTCTGCAGGATTTTACAGATGACATGACGGAATCAGTATTCTGTGGGAGCGAGCTCTCGGGAAGTGCGGTCTTACCTGTTAACGCTCACCAATGGATTTCCAATTTGGGATTATCAAATGTTGTTAGACGTTTATTACTATACAGATTACTCAAAATTTGCATCTTTAACCCCCAAACCTGTACTGCTGACTCTCAAAATTTTTCCTGAGCTCTATTCTAAGTCACCAATGGCCTAGTAAATATCCCCAGTACTTTCTCAAAAAAGCTGAGCTTTCCATTCATCCCCATAAACCACATGCGCTGACTTCCCCCTTGTTTCAGGGAAGTGGTATAAGTGTCTTCTCTGTCACCCTTAACATGTGAGCTTCTTAAAAGTCAGGAGGTCTTGCTCGTCTTCACACCTTGCGCTGATCTGAGGAGACCTTATGCCGTCACGAGTGCTCAGTAAGCAACGGCGTTTGCACGGCACTGTTTCGGAAAGTATCTTCACAGTAAGTACTGCCCTACAAACAAACTGATGCTAAGTTTATTCTAGATAAAACCCTCGGCTAAAATTTAAGGTATTCTCTAAGTTACATCCTCTGTGGAAACAGTCACGCTATTTCTTTGTGCGGTCAAACGACACGTAAATAACCAAACTTAGGTGTGTCGCATGGCTACACAGTGGCTGACCCTGCTGCCGGACACCAACTCCAAGTGTGCCCGAGTGAGCTGTGACGACCGGGCTCTGGCTCCTTCTTGCTGGAGACCGAGGCTGCACTCCATACGAGTGACTGGGCGGAGCCTGCGCGAGGGGCGCGGGGCGGGCACCGGGGGACGCACGTGCGAATGCCCCGCTCTTGAGGAACACGCCCGAGACCTCTCGGAAAATGCACGAGGTGAAGCAGACTGCTTTGAGACAGGGCTGAAGGAGGGTGTGGGGAGCAGCGGCTGCCAGTCCGGGAGCCCGGTGCTCTGGGCGGCCACGAGCATGGCCTCGAGTGGTCACGCAGGACCAGTGAGCAAAGCAGGAGGGAATACACGCTCAGGAGCTGGCGAGGAGCGGAGGTTACACTGGCGAGATCAGATGGAACCACCTGGAGAAAGGCCGGCCGATGCCCAGACCCTCAACATGCCCCGCAGACCAGCAACCTGCCTGCGAGGCCCTGGGGGCGTCAGGCTTGTAACAGATGGGACTACAGAGACACAGGGACTGCTACCAGCCTAGAAAACCGCCGGTGGCAGAGCGAGAGCAGACCAGAGGAGGCAGGCAGGAGGTCCTGAGGACTGGCGGGGAGGGGCGCTCAGGTGAGCACGAGGTGCAGGTGAGGCCTCAGCACTGAGCAGAAGGGACACAAAGTAAACCAGGCGGAGCAGAGACCGGCGGGCGGGCGGGATGATGGGCGGGCAAAGCCCGAGAAGGTGCCACGGTCTGGGCCACAGGCACCGAGAGGACAGGACAACAAGGAACCTGTGGGAGAAGGAAACGTGCTGCTCTGAACTGAAGTGCACTTGAGAGGCGGCGGGGAGAAGGGAGATGAGCGCTGGGGACGGGGCCTCAGGGAGCCGCGGGGACAAGCCTGGAAGGTCGGCCTTGCATTTCCTAGGTTCAACGTGTCCTAACTGTCGCTCCCACAGAGTGACAGCATTAGGGGATGGGGGTGTGTCGCATCTCCCAAGGAGCAAATATAGAGAGGACAGGACTGGAAACAGAATTCTGAGGAACGCCCAGATAAAGGGGGAAAAGGAAGGCAAACGAGTGAAAGAAATGTGAAAACGAGGCGTGGCCGACGCTGCTGTCCGTCCCGTGATGTGTGTCCCCCTTCCTCGCCAGTGCGTCCCCGACAGTTCACTGAGCGCGTGGCCGCCCAGAAACATCTGCGCGCCTCCTCGCAGCTGGCGTGACCAAGTTCTGGCCAAGGGGAAGCGGTGTCCTTAAAGAGGGGGCCTGCTACAGACCGCGGACCCCTGTGGGGTTACGGTGCTACGCCAACAGTTATGCCTACAGGCAGAAAATGAGCAGTGGCTATGATTAAGGCATCACTAAGTTTGAAAGCCTGCCTGGAAACACTGTAGAACTACAAAATCAATCAAAAAATAACAAAAACACAAGTCCTGAAAAATCATCATAAGAAGTCAGAAAAAATGACAGTCAAGCCTTCCAGGCAAAGTTCTTAGCTAAAAAACTCATTTAATGGTAAACAAAGGTAAATAAGACATTAAGAACTTTTAATGAAGCACAGAACACTGTCACGAGAATCGCAATCATCAGAGCACGCACCTCAGCCGTCAGAAGTCTTCTCGGGCACTTGTTAACGGTGGCGAAGACGTTCCTGAGCCCGGTCTCCAGCTGCGTCAGCAACAGCATGGCACAGTCGGCAAACCTGTGAAGTGGGAGGGATACCAGCAGAAGCCCCATGGTGACGCGAACACTGGCACCCACGCCACGGGAGCGGTGCCACATCCCAGACGCGACTACTGTGTGCGAAGCCAGGAGGGGGGACGTGGCTTGCGAAAATGAGACACGAGAACACAATCAAGGCTCATTAGACTAGTGATTTTAAAGTTATTTTAGTGTTTTAACGTTTGATGAACTACTTTTAGTACCTCAGTGTAATAAAATGTCATCAAAATCTGCCTAATTTGTTCCATCACTTCTAAAAAGTACTCAGACGCCAGGATTTCAGCGGGTTCTCACTGTACACAAGCGAACGTTTCAGGTACTTTCGGTACCAGAAGAAGTGATGACAAGGAAAATGGAAAGGACTTAAAAGACCACCGACCTCCTGATGTCCACTGGCACAGGCTCGGCTCCTCAGAGACGAAAGAGACAGACCTTACTCCAGCTGTGTTTCATGATTCCCTAACACAGGACACGATGTTTCACTCGTGCCAAAAACTCAAAAATTTTTTAAAAGTTGATTCTAAAAACAATCTTTATCAATGGTGCAAAAAGGGTAACACGAGTTGAGTCATAGGAGACCTCTGAATGAGGGACACGAAGGTACTTCACGCTCGGCTCCACCCTCGAGTCGGCCCGCTGCTACCAAATACCAAGGGCGAACAGGCCCGGAGGGCGGAGGGACTTCAGGGGACCGGCCTCCCGACTTCGACACCCACTGTGCGATATCACCCTTCTGTTACCTGTGTGACTTGAACTTGATTAATGCGAGTTCCCAGTATGGCAACATGATTCTTAATATGAAAGTGGATTTCTTCATCAGTTCTTCTAATACTGACGGCGCCTCATGAGTAACATCTGCGAAACAGCGAACTTTCTTAAGCACAACCATGCTAACCAACTGAAGATAAGTGAACGCACTTGGGGAGTGACGCTGCAGCCCACTCCTGTACGCTGCAGGCGAGCGCAGTGGGGCAGCAGGTGCCATGAGGGTGAGGAGGCCACCCTCGGCTACAGCCAGAGGTGCAGGTGACTGCTGGCACCTTGGGAGAAAAGCAGATGTGGGTGCAGCATCTTCTCAGTGCTGAAGCTCTAACTGCTTTGAGCAGAGGAGTTCAGGGTTGACCAGCTGACCATGCTGACCAAGAAGGTATGTTTCCAGAAGCTACAGGAACCAAGAGTGAACGTCAAGGTAAACCACGGACTCTGGGTGATGATGACATGGCAAAGCAGGTTCATCCCTGGTAACACACGTCCCATCTGAGGGAGGCTGTGCGTGTGGGGGGTGGGGGTGTGCGGAATCTGTGCCTTCCTCTCTATTTTGTTATAAACTTAAAACTGCTCTAAGAAAAGTCTTAAACATATATATATTGTTGGCAGTCGCCAACCTACCAAAGGGTCCACGGTACGAAAGGCTGGGGCTGTCAGGGCAGGTGGTCTGTGCCGCCTCCCCCGGGGCTCACATCGGCAAACGCAGACTTACACCCCGACTGCCGACGTGGAGAACGAATGAGCGTGGAGCGAACACGCGGTTCCACTGCTCTTTCGAAGCTCTATGTCCCCCCAACCCCATAATTTGGCGAATGGCTTTGTCATGGAAAACAAAAGAGGACAGCGGAGACCGTCCCCTGCTGGCATTCGTGGCGTGTCTGTGAGCACAAAGGCACGAGAGGAACAGGAGAACGGAAGGTGTGCTGTAAAATGGTCCTACGCCGCGTGTACGCCAATACAGCTAAAGGGCAAACGGACGCCATCGCCAACAGTGACTCATGGAGCGTGACTCGCAGGGACTCCCCACAGCCATCTGGAGGCACACAGGGAGGCAGGGTTTAAAAGGTCCCTCATGTGACTTTCAAAGGCATCTCACCACTGGAGAATAACATTCCCACGTAAAGAGGTCGTCTTGATGCTGTCTAGCGACTCTAGAAATATCTTTCCAAAGACATACGTGGGGAAAATGCGAAGTGTGGTACTTGCCAGGGAAAACGATCAGGTCCTCCAAGTGTGTAAGAGCAAGGGGTGGGCGATGCGCCAACGGGAACTCGGTGTGCTGAAGGTAACTGTTTAGCAGCTGACCCAGCCCCGCCATCAACAGCACCATCGTGGAGCAGTACCTGGTGGGAAATGCCAGGGCTCTGTTAGAAAACGAACTCAGTCATCCACATAAAAGCTTTACTTTCAAAAGAAAAAGCTTAAAATTAAGAAAACAAAACACTACGAAATGCAAGAAAGACCCCAGAGCCGTGGGAATGAGGCAGAGCCACGCTGGCCAGGAGGGACGAGAGCTCGTCGGAAACCTCGGGTGTCCCGCCAGGAAGCTGTGTCAGTCCCCATGGCCGTCTGGCTGGGCCGCCGACCCGCCTTGCGGAGTGAGTCAGCAAGAGCTAACCCGCAGCACTCCGGTCACTCCGCTGTGCGCATCGGCTTTATCTTCAAACTCCTGTCCCCAAACCGTCTCATCTTTCTCAAGGTGCACATACCTCCTTGCTGTGACATTAGAGATAAGACACCCTCCTGGGCACACCCAAAGACAAAGAGCGGCACTTCCCCAGCAACTCACTTTGCAGGGACCTCGTGAGGCGCTGCGAAGCCGTGCCACAGGACGTTGCGCAGGTTGAGTCCGCGGGGACAGCCCACGAAGACTTCCAGCACATTCATCTGGTCACGTGACAGACAGCGGGTTACCAAGCGGGTAAACGGCTACCGCTACTGAGCAAAACAACTCTGGACGATGTTCCCGTTCCCCCTTGGAAGTAACAGAACCAGCCGCTGGGCTGGGACGGAGTCATCATAACAGCCAGGAAAGGAGACGACCAGCACTACCCAGTGTTAGGTCGGGTGGGACACACCTGGCGCCCACCTGCGGGCCTGTGTCCTCACAGTGGCCTGCGAGGCAGGTGCTGCTGGTATCCCCACCCACAGGGGACAGCAAGAGAGGGCCGGCCAAGGCCCAAGGCCACAGAGCTACAAAGGGGCACGTGACCTGACCCAGGCGGTGCTGCTGTCACACCGGGCATCAAACCTGCCTTACGTCTAGAGAAAATAAAACCAGAAACGACGGTGCCACGCAGAGCGGCGGGCACTTGTGCCATGCGGAGGGCGGTGCGGAGGGCCCCAACTAGGAGTCCCCGCCTGCCCGCGTGGGTCCCTCCCCCTGGAACGTGGAGACACGCCCACACAGGGACGCGCATATCCGAGGGCGCCCCGGGCGAGTGCTCTAGGACAGAGACGCAGGAAAAACGGAGGATGTTCGGAGCCTGAAAGCGCCCAGCCATGTCGCGGGAGACAGAAGCGCTGGGCCTCAGAGAAGGAAGGAGAGCTGTCTCCCCGCGGGGGGGAAGGGGACGTGATCTGAAGTCCCCTCAGAGCGCAGGAGCGAGGCCTGAGGGTGCACAGTGCAAGAGCGAGCAGTCAGCATCAACGCCCGGCCGCAGCTCCACGGCGCTGCTCCGGGCGGGCTTCACGCTCACGCTGCTTTTAACAGTTTAACAGTAATAGTGACTCCTTACCACAATCTGACAGAATGTAACATTATTTATTATTAAGTTGATAGTAAATTTTAATTAACTGTCCATACCACCTGGGCAATCAGAAATACACGTGCCTATGAACTAGTAAAATCACCTGGGGGTGGAAGCGGCTGCAGGGAGGCGAAACACTGAGCACACAGGCGGACGACGAAGAACAGAGCGAAAAGCGGAATGTGTTTTTAAGCCAGTGTTCCAACAAGACATTTCTACTTTATCTTCACTCCATGCTCTCCGGGAAAGAAAACAATCTTCAAGAGGACAAGGGGTGAGTAATCACCTTTACCGAAAACGAATTTCCCAACCAAAAAGAACGCGTTGAGCCCATGATATATTACACAATTAAACATCTTGGCCCAGCAGACCCCTTCCCAAGGCAGTGCCTGGCTTCCTCCTCACCCTTACCCTGCCTGTCAGTTGCCTAAAGGTTGGTCTTAAACAATCTTGATCATGTGCTCTCTAGAGGATTTTGAAAAGGTATATAGCTCTGCATGCTTTCTAACTGACATCTGAGTTATTTATTCACCATAAACTTGAACAGTGGCAAAGGGCATAATGTCCCTCATATTAAAAATATTGATATTTTAGAATAAAATTGTAATGCCACTCTTTAAAGAGTTAAAATCTTATTTTAGAACATCAGTGTTGTAATTATTAATATGTAATTAACGAAATCAATAGACTTCCAATTGTTCATATACCTGGCCCCCTAGAGGTTATTATACCGAAGGCTATCGCAACAGAGACCATTACACCAGATGTCATCATGCCAGAGCCATCACAGCAGAGGTCACCACACCAAGACCGAGGCTAGGAGAGACGTGTGTCTTTTGGCTAGAAGAGTGGCGATTTTGAAAAGGGAGGTGGAAAAGAAGAATATACTCGACTCACTGATATGATTTTTTCCTATTACAGCATCGGTTTTTGAGGAACAAAAGAATAGCTGGCATTAACTGTTTTGTGTCGTGCCTACTCTATCAGCAGTGGGTAAACGAACTTACCACAGACTGCCCAAAGACGTGCGCGAGCTCTTCAGATGCAAGCAGATCTCTTAAAAGAAAGGGGCATTCTTTTCCAATCAGTAAAAATACCTAAAATTCAAACAAAAATCATAAAACAATTGCACTATAATCAGCCAAGTGATATTCAGAAAATTACCCCCAAAGCAACTGTTTGTATAAGCGAGGGGAGACAAGTACTGAGGACACCAATGTCTTAATTTCATTCAAAAAATACTGAAAATCCGCATCAAACAATTGCATTTTATAGGACAATAATTAAAATAAAAAAATCTGAGGGCAACTATCGAACTAATGTTCATTCGGATGCTTTAACGGCCCAACAATGAAAGAGTTCTCACACTTACGTCACCCAAGGATCGTTCTAGACATGATGTCAGCTTCATTAAGCTAAGAGAAATTGCAGGAGATTGAAGACTTTCCAAGGCATCAAATATTTCAGCAAATAACTATTTAGAATAAGATACATGTTAGAATTTATGCTCAATAAGAAATATTTCTCAAAGTATCAACACTATTCATGAAATTCAAATCTCTGAAGATTTTGTAATATTTAGTGACTTTTTTGGCAGAAGTAAACATTTTCTATACAACTATAACAATATCGAATCAAAAAAACATTTACTATCTAAGGAGTTCTCTGAAAGTTCTTTAAAATGTTTACTGAAAGCAATAAATGTGGCAGAACTGTAAACTGAAGTCAAATATTCTGACCTAAATCTTATTTTCCATTTTGCTTACTTCTTGAAAGTAGATAAACATAAGGCAAGTCGCCCTGCCACTCCAGAGAGCTATTACAAAGGGAGACACAATGACCCTTGTACTATAAATTAGGAGATCAAAGTATTTTAGAATTAGACTTTTCAGAGTTACTGCTCTATGGTGGCCGTTAATGTGCCCAGAGAAATGGCTGGTGGAAAGCAACTAACCAGCCAACCAAAATAAGGTTTGGGGAGGCCCCGAACGGCCCTCCTCCCTCCGATCCCCCTTTCACCAGTCTCCCGGCCCCGTTTCAAGAATACCTTACTATCTATCCAGGTCTTTCTTTTTTCCTGGAAGTCCACTTCACTCTGTCCCAGGACCAGCAGCCATGTATCAAGCTACGTTCCCAGCCCCGACCCTGATGCTGCCCCCCAAACTTCCTTCATCCACATGAGCTTCTCAGGTCAGGCTTCAGACTTTGCCTAACGGTTCCGAGTCTCCCTCCCAAGCTGCAAGCCTTCTTCAGAGCTCAAAGAGGCGTAAAGGAGACGGAGCCCTTTAAGATTAGCAAGTAATAAGGGTCTCCAAGTGGAATTTTCAAAGCCTTTGCTTTCCAAAGGTTGTTCAAAGGCCGAACCTCAGGGGAGCTTGTCCATTGGAGCCACTGTGCGAACTGCATTTCCAGCTGTCTCCGGGGCAGGTGTGACAGGTGTGAATGGATGGCCTCACACACAGGGCCCAGCAGCCTCACGCTTCCCCAGTAATCCAGACCCTGGGCTTGAAGGGCAAGAAAACAAGGTAGCACCATAGCTCCGCATCACGTGACAGTCAAGTCTGACTCGTCAAAGCAAATTTGCTCGAATTACAAAGTTTTCACACAGTCAAAAACCAGTTTATAACTGAACTAACAAAAAAGTTACTCCTGTGTTTTGGGAAATAAATTACATAGTGCTTATCTGATTATAAAAGAAAAATATGCTATCAGTAGAGTTTGGAAAATACAGGGAGGTTCAGACAGGAGACAAATATTTTCTTCACTTTCTTTACCCATATGTTTATAGAAAACCAGGCTCATACTGTATATGCAATATTTTAACACGATTATTTTTACTTAACATTATTCAACTGTGAGATTTCCAATGACCTTATTTTAGAACACGCTTATAATGTGAATTTTTTTTATATTTAGAGCTGAATATTCAAATGATTGTGATCAAAAAAATATAAAAGGGTGAACATCTCCTTCCTGACCACAGAATTCTCCTTCCTAGAGCAGTATTAATTCCTTGTGTACATTTAGAAATATTTATAGATATACAAACAAATACAAACATCTGCTCATTTTCACTCAGCAACATGGCGCAGAGATGTCGATAAGACAGGCCTCCTCATTCTTTTCTACCGCTGCATATTCCACTGTGTGCATTTTTCACAATTTACTCAAGCGATCCCCTATTGCTTGACATCTGGCTGTTTCCAGTGCCCTTTTCCTCTTTGCTGTCTCTAAGTGCCGATCTAGAAGGTCCTGGAACTTACTGAAATTGCTGGACCAAGCATCTTCAGCCGTCATCGTTAGAACTATTGTCAAACTTCCCAACCCAAAAACCTGCTCTGAAAATGTGCGAGACGTTACCATGTTAATGGTGATGTCATACCCCGAATTCATGCCTTGTATTTCTACCCTTTTCCACCTGGACTGACGGCCGAGAGCTGAGGTCCTCGCCCTCCGCCCTCCACAGCCCTCACTGCCTCTCCAGCCCCCTTTTCTTCCAGTTTCCTTGGCTTTCCGTTAACTCTTCTATCCTTCTCTGGCCTCGTTCCCTCTTTTACACCAACTCCTTTTGCCTTCTGAGTTAAGCTTGTATTTTAACATCCTCTAACCACACGCAGCAACAGTCAGGGAATTCTGCAGGTTGAGCCTCTTCAGTGGCACAACAGTGACAGGTGCTCAAGATGCGGAGAAAGCGCAAACCTGATTCTGCACAGATCACACAGTCCGTTAGTGTCTTCCAGCACACTTCACCATCTGGAGTTACAATACTATTGATATCATGACTTCCTCCGACTTCGAACCCGAGTTTACAGATCATGTCATACACTGAGGGAGAAAGACACGTGGTAATAGGATCTTCTAATATCTGAAATATGAAACATAAAAGATACTGTTTAAATTATCTTTAATACGCTTTGTGGATACTGTGAGAGATGTGTGATTAAAACACTGATTACATATTAAAGATAACTTACGTATTTTCAAATGTTGAAAGACTTAAAATTATTTTATGAATTACAATATTTGTTAAGATATGTTTCCAGAAACTCAGTATATTTCATGGATAGTTCATTATTCCTTTCAGCATTCCTTTACTATCCCAAAGTTAAGCAATTTTTTTTAAATGGGGAGTGGGAAAGCAGAAAATTGAGCATAATAAAAACAGGAAAAGCATCAAACCATACTGCTGTTCCATGGATTATATAACACCAAAATCCTCATTATTATCCCCACATTACACTAAGGTCATCTTATAACTTATGACTTTGCATCGGGTGATGCAAAGTCATACTCTAGGTCTAAAGCTGACCTAGGGGTCTCTATCTGATGTGTCAAGTTAAGGGGCGGCAGCATTCTAACATTCGTGACTAAGCCCTGGCCGATCCCTAACTTGGCAGCAGGCCAGTTTAAGTTCCCCAGGCTGCTCTTCCTGGCCCCTGAAGCTTTGCTTCTCACCGCTCTGGCTGTCAACCAATCCCCGCGGGCCCCCCAGTTCTGGGATTGCCTGAGAAACCTGAGAAACACGCCGACCGCACCCTGCTCTGCCAGTCAGGGCACTGGAGAGCGCAGGCAAGAGCGGACTTGCTCCTGCTGCCTGCAGCTCTGAGACTTCCGGTCCACCTTCTACTCCTTCCAGCCTCCGGCTACAGCAGCTGAATCCAGCCCCCAGTGCTGCCAGCGCCCCTAGGCCCCGCTTTGTGACCAGCCCCCAAGAGACACTACACTGCTTGTCCAGTGCCTCCCCTTCACAGGTTGCGTCCAGGTGCAGGACGCTGAGAAGCACAAGCTCCTCCTTAGAGGTCAGTTTCAGCTATGACCCACCGACGTTTAAGTGTCACATTTCAAAGTCCCATCCACTCTCCTTCCTTCCCTCAGTCCTACAGACTGTGACTGAGTCCTGCAGCCTCATACTTTGAGACCTCTTTTTACCTTTTCAGATACCTAGTTAATTCTATGCCTTGTTCACTCTCTAAATCCTTGATTCGAAAACTTAGTGTGGTTTGTCTACTGATACAGAAATAAAATGCTCTGAAGGGTTACTGTCACATCAAAAGGGACTCTGCATTGTTGAAAAGCATTCAAACTCTAAAGGAATGAGCTGTAGTTCTGGAGTGACAGGTGACAGGCAAAATTGATATTTTTACACAAAAGCCCATCCACTCCACTACTAAAGCGGGCCCTAGATACCGCATTGTAAGTTGTGTGAAGTCTCCCTTTTTGATTGTAGCTGCCCTATCAACATCGTTGTCCCTCAGCCTCACCCCAACTGTAAGATCCTAGAACACAGAGCAAAACTTTGTACCCTCAGCAGTAGCATGGCCCCGGGGCACAAAAAAACAATCGAAGGGAACTGAATGACTGGCCCCTCCTACTCTCAGCTGAAATACATCCTCCGCATCTCCACAACCTTCAGCTTTTGGGAATGACGATCTCCTATACCCTACCCACAGGTACAGAATTCTAGAAAAAAACCCACTGTTAATTAACAAATAAAATCCAACCTCAAATCAACAAACATTAGATGCTGCAATACTTGTCACTTATGACAATACCTTGTCTTGCGTGTTACTGTGACAAATATGCCTGTCCTGTCACTAGAAACCAGAAACCCCGCACGTTTGTATGTGTGATCCCCCACCCGCCCCATCGTTCTTTAGCACGACAGCTGTCTCGCCCGAAGACAGCAGGGGGTGATGCAAACATCTTGTTTGGGAGCAAAGACTTAAATCTGAATTTGTCCCCAGACTCTACCTCTTGCCTTGGAAAAGTTACTTAACATGTCTGAGCCTGTTTTAACTGTGAAATAGTGCAAAATATTACCACCCTCTAGGATTGCAGTCATTATTTGAAAAGCATCCAGCACACAGTACTCAAATGCAGATATTGCTAAAACTGATAGATGTTTGATGTGTAACTGCCTGAGGAAGAAAAATAAAACCCTAATTGCAAGGCGTCAATAAGGCCCTTGTGATTTAGTTCTGTTAAAAAAAGGCCTACAAAGGTAGAATATAACTTTAATTGTCAAGTGTGAGACTGTGAGTTGCAGCGGTAATTATTACTACACAGGACTTCCCATGTTGCTTAGTTACCACATAGTTAAATTTCCTTCAGGCGATGAAGGCCACAGTCAGAATAAACACTAAAAGTAAGAGCGCGCGTGTTGCTTGCAGTACCGGGCTGCGGGTCAGGTTCCCATAGACCTGGCTGTTAGAGCGTCAGAGCCCGGACGCCCACACGTGTGGAGTCATTACACTATTCACAAACTTCGGCCTGGAACCTGGGGGACGATGGGGAACTAGGCCCTGGAACAGCCTGCGGGTGGGGACGGCGCCAAGGAGAACGAGGGCGGGGCTGCGTTTCGGGGGTCGGGGTCAGGGCCAGGCGCCCACCCTCACTCCGGTCGCGGACGAGGAGCAGGCACGGCCCGCCTGCCTCCGTCGTGGCTCCAGCCCGCGGAGCGCGGCCAGGGGGCCACTTGAGGGGGTCGCCCTCCCACGACCTCCGCCGAGGCCCACCCGCTAGAAGGGCGAAGGGCGCAGCCCACTCGACGCATCGTCCTGCGCCT